TTCAGTATTTCTCATCAAGAGAGATTTTCAAATTGATATTACATCCAATTGCAATTTTCATTCCGAACATCTCTGATGCGTTCGGATTTAATTTTTTTACGATGATTTTCTATCCCTGTAGGTTGTGAAGGCTAGTTTTCCAGTAATGTGGAATGGAAAGAAATTGACAATCATAAGTCCATTTTCACATTGCATTCGTTTATAATTGTTATGTTATCAGGGACTCAGCAATCATTATGTCCCGGTTGCACATTGTGCCTCTGTTGACTACTATTCTTAATATATGCAGTGTTTATTCAGGGACTGTCGCAGGGGCTCGGGAAGCATTTTTCAATGACGTACCAGCCATTTCTGTATCATATGATTGGTATGCATGCCATAGTTCTCACACAAAAGTTTTGATAATGACAAATTTTGGTTAAATGGACTTCTTGGAAGTCAAATTAAGTTAAATCCACATTTCCTATTTGATTAATATTTTATTTTCATATTCTTACCCCACCTCTTAAGTCTTATGGCTTATTGTGCTTTGTCACTAAAGAAGTTCAGTGTAATTTTCCGTACTGATGGCTGCTGCTCCTCAGGGTTGGTGGGAAGAGTAAAGTCGATGATTTTGCTCTAGCAGCAGAAGTTTGCTTACCCATAATTAGTGCCTTATTGGCTGAAATCAAGAAGAAAACTTATCCTCAAAACTGCTTCCTGAATATAGATGTGCCGACAGATGTTGTGAATCACAAGGTAATATTTGGCTTGTATTGTCAAATGTCAATATTATTGTGATTGAATTGAATGTCAAGTTAATTTGACGGCGAGGTTCTTGGTTTTGCTTACATCGCGTCCTGAATTTTAGCTTTTGCATCCTATTCGATGACAAAAATTAAAAATTAAAAAGCTCTATTGTAGACCTGTTTTCTGTTTTTTCTTTTAAATGATGAGAGAAGGATGCTTAGACGCTTTTTTGGCCTCGAGCAGGGCTATCGACTGACCAAGCAAGGCAAGAGTATTGTGAGAATGGGGTGGACACAAGTAACGTCTGATGCTAAAGGTGGAAAAATGTTATCGACAATGACCATGGATACTGATTCATCATATGTAGAAGAACTCTCGAATACAAAAGACGCGCATCTCGTATTCAAAAGAGAAGTATGATGTTTCTGTTCACACTAAAAAGATGAGATACTGCATTCTCATTTTAGTATTCCACTATTGTGATCATTTTTTTTTTTTTTTTTTTTTTTTTTTCTAAATAGGAATTTCGCCTGCGTTATTTTGTTTTATTCTTATTATTCCAGGTCACGGGATCACAAGTGGAAGATGGTGACACAGACTACTGTTCTCTTCAAGAAGGATATGTATGTCTAATATGCAATGCATAGTGAGAGCCGTATGGTCAGCAATTAATATATGTCTTTTTTATTGCAGATAACCATCAGCCCTCTAGGCGCCTTGTCTCCTGCAGAGCCTGATAGTCAGGCGTACTATAAAGAGTGGCTGCCTGGTGTGAATGAATTCTTCTCTTCTTCTTCTTCTCTGTAAAATGGAAGCACCACAAGTTTTTCTTTAGTACCTGTGAGTGTTGAACATACGGCAAAATTATGCTTTACTTTTCCTCCCCCACAAGATCTCAATGTTGGTTGAAAATACCTTCGTTTGAATGTTTTATTTTTCTGTAATATATATTTTAGGCAGTGTCTGCAGTTTACTTAAAAGAAAGTTATTGTCAAGTTTTGGCTCGAAGAAAAAATAGTTCCTACAGTTTCCAGATTCTGGTGTTTGACTCAGATACTGCATAATCTATTCAGGTTTTGAAAGAAATAGAGAGGTTTCTAAAATTCCTATGCTTCTTTTTTGAATTTTCAAAGAGATAAGGTTGCCACAACTTATTTGCTGAACACTAATCTTTTAACCATGTGTTTTTAGCTTATAGAATAATACACTTCTTTAAAACCAGAAATTTTTACACACACTCCAGTCATATGGTTATTGATTTTATCCATGTTTCAAAACCATTCAGATCTAAGAGCAACGAGTAGGATATATAGCGAAGGAATTGGGTAGAACAGACATAAAACTAAACTACTCATGCTGTGCGTCTCTTTATTTTGATCCTCATATGATTCCATATGTTTCTCCTTTTAGTGCCTAATATGTCTCGTATTCAGTCTCAGGGTTCTCGAATCTGATGATATTTCAGAGTGGCAGCTTTAGTTCCAAGGGAAGCCTTCCTACAGGTACCATCATTCCTACTCCTGGGATGATTGGTCAACGATGTCATAATTATTTCCTTATATTTAAACCAAAATCTATTTATGGAGTCAAAAATCTATTTTTGGATCCAAATTCCCTGCTGATTGTAGCATTTACATTAAGATGTGTAATAAATGACGCATATATGAATGATATGATTTTGATTGGGAGATACTTTTGTCTCATTGTGATAACTAATGGTGTCCGAAAAACAGCATAGAAATATTCTCTTCATCTTTCAGATGAAGACCTTTGGCAGGATATTCAATCTTTATGGACCTGATCTATTTTTCTTTTTTTCCCCAAGGCTTAGAATCAACAATTATAACCTGAGGTACTTTCACTATCTCATCTGTCTGCAGAATATCTACATCATTGTAATTCCTACCAGTGTTTAGGCTGCAAGCGGATATACGTTCATTTTGTTCATTGTTTTTCCTCTGAAGAACAGTGATGGAAAAGTTTTAAGAGGGAGTGATAATTTTTAGTGTGTGAATAAATATGGTAATTTAGTTTATGTGGTTAAAAAATAAAAATAAAAATATCCAAAATGATTTGTAGTTAAAAGTATGTGAGGAATTAACTAGTGAAATACTTACGAATTTTTTATAGTAATGATTGATTCTTCATTGAAAATTGTTTTGACGGAATAGATTATTGAAAAATGTGAGAATAACTGGATAGTGTTCTTTAATTTTTTATTTTGTTTTTTCATAAGCAATCAAAACTTCAAGGTTAAAAAAATTCCTGAATGAAATGAAACTGGAAAATTTTCACTCCAGTCACACTAGTTTTCAGAGAATATGCGTTAGGTTGACAACTTCAATACAATCCAAGTATTGATCAAGTCAAGTTCTATGCTTTAAGTCTAGGTATGTAAATTCAATATTGTTTAAAACCTGGCTTAATTCCTATACAACATGATGATGATGCTGAAGTCTTTAGGCTTAAACTTCTTATCACAAGTCACCCCTTAAACTTCCAAAAGCTGTGGGGAACCTATCAAAGTTTCTGTGCCAACCGTCTGAAAAGGATGAAGGCAAGGAGCCATTTACACAAAACTATCACTCACTAATTAAGGAAAACTGGGAAGCCAAACTGTCACATAGAAGCTGATCATCAGCTTTCATAATTTACTATGACACTTCTCTATGCTACCTCACTCGAAAAAGATTTTAAAACTACAATGTGAAAAGGTTGCGGACAACAGTGAAAAAAAAAAAAACTGTATCTGTAAAAATTTCTCGTTTATGTACAGTATACATTTATACAAGTTTCGACTTGCTGGTTTCTTTCTTCCTTTTGTGTTGTTTCTCGTTTACGTATATTTTAGGAGTGCTCTCATTTGTACGATGAAGCTTGTGGATGAGATTCCACCAAAATGGACCAAAGCACGTGCACATCTTCATAGGGGCAGGACTTGACATCCTCGTACAGAATGTATATCCCTCTTCCTGAAAAATTTATCACGAACGAAAAATATGGTAAGTAGGCCAAAACCTTACATACTCCCCCTTATAAACAGTACACTCTGTTACTATTGATGATGCAAGTTTAAGTTAATGCTACGAAACTTGAGAAATGAAGATGAGTAGGTCACATGGTAATGCAGTTTAATGTATTGGAAGATCATGCTGCGTTTAGTTTAAGTGTTTGAAATTACAAATAAACGCTGTTTTTACAAGATGCGTTATAATAAAGTTGATAACTTGTAAAAACAGCTAATTAAGGCTTGTAGCTGTATGGATAGATTTTTGTAAAAAGGATGAAACTCATGGGTAT